GAACTCAAAGCAGTTGCTCATTGAAATACTGAATAGGTATCTATGGTATGGTGTACATATTTCAAAACAAAGAAACAAACAAAAAATGTTCAAACAAATAAAATGCCCTAGCATATCTTATAATAAACTAATGAAACATCCATCATTAATGAGATCCAAGCCACAAAAAGAACATATACTTGATAATTTAGTACCAGGCAGCTGGCCTCCGAAAACCCCATGTGCCAATCTGCTTGATTGTTCCAGTGAAAAATGTGTTGTTTTCTTGGGGGATATCAGTGCAGAAACAGCCTATACCTCAAAAGAAACAGTTTTTCTTTGCTTTGTTTTGTTTCTTGGACCTAAAAATGAGTGACGGTGCATGTTCAGGAAGATGGATTCAGGTTTCTTAGAATCCTGTGTTTCAGAAAAGTAGCAATTTCATAAAGTTTTTATAGAAAAAGTACAAAGAAAATCAGGGACAGCCCACCTGTAAACCATAGTAATGTGTGTGCCTCAATGAGATGATGGAACAGATTTAGTAGACTTCCTAGAGGAGGTTTTACCCTCTTAAGTGGAGCAAGGCAGGAGTGGGGGGAAGTAGGAGGAGTGGGAAGAGAGGAGGAAAGGGGAACTGGGATTGGAATGTAAAAAATAAATTAATAAAAAAAGAATTTTTTTCTATAACCTGGCAATAAACTAAAGAAATTACACACATACACACACATATGTACGTATATATATAATATATATTATATATATACTCACATATATATGTACACATATACATATATGTACATATATACACATATATGGATACATATGTGTGGGCAGACCCATGCAGGCCCTGTCCTTGCTGTTCAGTCTCTGTGAGCATGTGTGAACACTGATTAGTTGATTTGGTGGGCCTTGTTCTTCTCTGTGCCCCCATGACTTCTACAGTCTTTCTGCCCCATCTTCCACAGGGGTTCCCTGATCTCCTGGGTGGGGACCCAATGGAGACTTTCTATTTAGATTCTCTGTCTGGCTGTGGGTCTCTGCACGCTCTCCCATCTACTGCTGGAAGAAGCCTGTCTGATTATAACTGGACAAGGCCCTGATCTGTGAATATGATAGAATATCATTAGGAATCCCTCCCTCCCTCCCTCCCTCCCTCTCATCCATCCACTCACCCAGGCAGTGTAGGGCAAGGGTTCCCTCTCATGGCGGTGACCTGAAGTTACACCAAACATTGATTGGCTACTCCCACAGTCTGCACTTCCTTTGCCCTAGCACATCTTGTAGTTAGGACAGATTGTAGTTCGAGGGTTTTGTGCCTGGGTTGGTGTCAAGGTTTCTCCTTTTGTAATCTACAGAGTATGTTCTCTTGCCAAAGAGACTAGAACGTAGGGGTGAGGGCTCTATGCAGTCACCAGCTTGACCTCTTCATGTTCTGTGTGCTGTGTGGATGTTCTCAGCAGTGCCTTCCACTATCAGTTTTCAGAGAGCAACTCTGTCCTAGAATCAACCTGGTTTGTTTAGGGATTTCCATGGGACCCTCTGGGCCACAAACTTAACTGAGTGCAATGCGGTCCTACCACTGAAAGCTTTACCTAGCTGTAAGGGAATATAGTTCAGACTGTATCCTCCATTTCTAGCTGTTCTCACTAGGGTCACCCTCATAGATTCCAGGGAGATTCCACTGTACAGGGTTTCCACACCATTTCTTCAGTGCTCCCCAATTTCAGCTGTCTCTTCCACACCCTCCCACAACTCCCACCTGATTCCTCTTACCTCTGTCCACTTATAAAATTTATTCTGTTCCCATCTGCTTTACTGAACCTCTCTGGGTTCCTCTTGCTCCATAAGCTGGAGCATAAGCATAAGGTCATTCGTGGTTTTGATCTTAGCCATTTTGATAGTTGTAAGATTGAATCTCAAACTAGTTTTGATTTGCATTTTCCTAACGGCTAAGGGTATTGAACATTTCTTTAAGAGTTTCTTAGTCATTTGAGATTATTGTATTGAAAATTCTCTGCTTAGATCTGTACCTCATTTTAAAATCAGATTATTTGTTTTTTGATATCTAATTTCTTGAGTTTTTATATTTGATAACAGCTGTTATCAGATGTGGAGTTGGTAATAAACTTTGCCTATTCTGTAGACTGCTGTTTGTCCTATTGATGGTGCCCTATGCCTTACAGAAGCTTTTCAGTTTCATGAGGTCCCATTTGTTAATAGTTGATCTTCATGCTTGCATTTGTGGTGTTCTGTTCAGAAAGTCTTCTGTGCCAGTGTGTTCAAGGCTACTGCCCACTTTTTGTTCTATAAGGTTCATTCAGTGTGTCTGGTTTTATGTTGAGGTCTTTGACCCACTTAGACTTGAGGTTTGTGCAGGGTTATACATTTGGATCTATCTGCATTCTTCTAAATGTAGAAATACAGTTTGACCAGCCCCATTTATTGAAGATACTGAAGATACTTTCTTTTTTCCATTGTATCTTTTTGGCCTAGTTACCAAAAATGAGATGTCCATAGGTGTGTAGATTTATATGTCTGGGTCTTCAGTTCAGTTTCATTGATCCATGTGTCTGTTTTTATGCTAGTACCATTCGTTTTTTTTTTTGTTTGTTTGTTTGTTTGTTTTTGGTTTTGTTTCCATTTTTTGAGACAGGGTTTCTTTGTACTGCTTTTGAAGCCTGTCCTGGAACCTGCTCTGTAGAGTAGTCTGGCCTCGAACTCACAGATACCCGCCTGCCTCAGCCTCCCGAGTGCTGGGATTAAAGGCGTGCAGTTTTATTACTGTACCTCTGAAGTACAACTTCAAATCAGGAATGGTGATATCTCCAGCGGTTCTTTTTTGTTCAGGATTATTTTAGCTATCATGCCTCTTTCCTTTTCTGTTTATTTATTTATTTATTTATGTTTCTTTTTTCAAGACAGGGCTTCACACTATGTAGCTCTGGCTGTAGATCAGGTTGGACTTGTACTCAGAAATCACAGAGATCTGCTTTCCTCTGCATCCTGAGTGCTGGGATTAAAGTTGTACATTACTACATCTGACTTTTGTTTTTCCATATAAAGTTGAGAATTGTCCTTTCAAGATCAGTAAAGACTTGTGTTACAATTTTGATGGGGATTTCATTGACTTTGTAGATTGCTTTTGATAGGATGGCCATGTTTACTATGTGAATCCTACCAGTCCATGAGCGTGGGAGATCTTTCCATCTTCTGATATCTTCTTTAGTTTCTTAAAGTCCTGGAAAGATTAGCGATACAAGGGATATACCTAATCATAATAAAGACAGTTTACAGCAAGCCTATAGCCAACTTCAAATGGAGAGAAACTCCAATTTCACTAAAATAAGGAATAAGACAAGGTGTCCATTCTTTCCATATTTATTTAATATAGTGCTTGAAGTTTTAGCTAGAGCAGTAAGGCAGTGGAAGGAGATGAAGAGGATACAAATTGGAAAGAAAGAAGTTCAAGTATCATTATTTGTAGATGATATGATAATATACATAAGTGACACCAAAATTTTTTCTAGGGTACTCCTATAGCTGATAAACACCTTCAGTGAAGTGACTGGATACAAGATTAAACAAAACAAAACAAAAAAACACCACTAACATCAAAAAACCAGTAGCTTTCTTATATACAAATGACAATTGGACTGACAAAGAAATCATGTAAACAATAAATACCCTTCACAATTCCCTCAAATAATATGAAATATCTCGGGATAACTCTAATGAAGCAAAATGAAAGGCTTGTATAATAAAAACTTCAAATACTATTTTATCTGTGTGGTGTGTCCTTGATTTGTTTTTGTTGTGTGTTGGCATATTCTTTTTCTTACTCTTTCCACTCAATAATACTTGGATGGCATTTGACTTTGATAATTCCTTTTTGTTGTTTAGTTTTATAGAATAGTTTTTCTTAAATTTTAGAATGAGGTAGGGTTCAGATAATTTCTGTATATTATGCTATATTTTTATGGATATCAAAATAAGGCCTCTTATTTCTGCTATGTAGATAGTACTGCTTTCTGCTTTGTTCCACTGTATATTTAGTCTTTATCATTCCTCTGTTGCTGAGTAGATTCTACTCCTGGTACTTTGTTCTCAGTGTGTGGCCTTATTCAGTAAGGGAACTTTGTTAAATAGTTTGTCTCATGCTACCCTTAGCCATTCTTATCTTTGAAAGCTTTTGCCTGTTTTAGTTGTAATTTTCAGAACCACTTCTCAGTGACCAGTGGTTGTGCATAAGTGAAGGGTTATTGCCTCCAGCTTCCCTGGCTCCTTTTTTCCTTCAGATATGGACATAGACAGGACTTTGGATTTGTTGTGAGCAAGAAGATAGATATGTGTAGTTAGTATAACAAAAGTTTTATTTTTTTATGTTGAGGGTCTTCACTCTGGGTACACACTCTAAATTCTTAAGTAAGCCTTCCTCCCCAAAGCTGCTCATCTGTGTGTAGTATCTTAGCTGAAGTTCAGGTCCAGTCTTTAACAGAAGTCCCAGATTGGAGGGTCAGGATCCTTTGGGAGACTCTACAGATTCAGGGCAGATCAAGGTGGTGTCTCTCCAGATATGCAGAGCAGAACATTGCTCTTGATCTCTGCTTATAGACTGTCCAGTGGATGTCATGGGGTCTAGGACTGTGTCTGGTTATCTTGAGTCAGTGATGTCCCTAAGTTCTGGTTATCAGGTGCAGCCTTGGGTGTAGTGGGGATCCTGACTAAGCTATTTTTACATGTCTAAAAGGCATTTTTTTTTTTTTTTAAAACTATGCTCATCATAGAATTGTTGGCGGTTTGGCCTCACTCTTACTTTGAAATTTGTTGATCAGTTATCAGTGGGGTTTTGGTTTTGCTACCTAGGTGGTATGTCCATGTAAAGATTCAAAGGCATTTAAAGCTGTTTTTACTGCCACCAATCCTGGGTTCTGTGTTCTCAGTTGCTAATTGTATTATATTGCTAATTGGTTTAAATTTTCTTTTTCTTATTTTTTTTTTTTCTTTAAAAATCACTTCTACAGAGGAAAAAGAATTGGTGTATAGAGCACCCATCCTTTGTAGAAGAGAGGCCACAGCAGTCGAGAAGAACAAATTTGAAGACAGGGGAAGCAGCTGCCTCTCTCTCTAAAGCATGGCTCAAGTGTGGAGAAGGGTTTCAGGACACTTCTGAGACCCTGGTAGGAAAGCTATGAAATTGTTTTTCATGATTGCAGAACCTTGCTATTGTAGCTAGTTTCTTTTGAATCAATCTCTTGTTTTTCAAAGCACTACTTTTCTTTTTCATGCCTTGGGTTCCTATACTAATTTTGTTTAGTATGTTGTCTTTCTATTTGTTTGAAAATGAGGAATGCACACCCAGAGTGCTGACAGATATGAAATTGTTAGCATACTACTGTTTATAAGGGTTCTATTTGTGGAGTGCCAGTTCGATTCCTGTTAAACTTTATATGTCTTATAAATTACAGAGGAATGCTATCATAAACTAAAGATAGCATGGTTATAAATAGTAATGAGTGGTTAGTCATATATATGAGAAGTCATTAACATTGATTATGTGAAATGTCTCAATAAGCTTAGTGTCTAGAAACTATGTAAATAATTTGTGTGTCTGTAAAGACTACATGTTTTGGAAATACTCAATTGGTGCATATTAAAAATAAAAGCAGAAGAATATGTCAAGGAGAGTATCATTTAATATTGAATGTTTTACAAAATTTTATTGGTATTTAGCCTTTTCCACATGAATCATATGTTAAATTATTTTTTGTTATTATTTTGCCTGCAGTCATTAGCAAATGAAAAGACAACTTCTACTGAAAAGCTCCTGGAATTATCTCCAAGCCCAAAGAAAGGTAACAGTGTTGTATTGATTTTTTTTTTTTTTTTTAATTTTTAACCCCCGATTATGGAGACCACAACTTTGGAGTCCTTAGATTTATAGACAAGCATTCTACCACTGAACTAATGTCCCAACCCCTAATATGTTGCTTTATTGACAGATGAGTTTAAGGCTATTTTTCTGATTTTTTTTTTCCTTTTTCATCCTTTTAAGATGTTGCACAGTTTGAATAGTTTGTATATTCAGGGTTAGCAATGTAAAAGGTATTTTTGAGAGCTTGTCTTTCATCTCTGCCATAATCTATATTGTTCTTTCTGGTCCTGTTGGTGACTGCTAACATTTTGGTGTCCTTACTGGGTTTACTTTAATCATGGAATCTAGTGCCTTTCATGGGGTTCCCTAAGACCATTGAAAAACGATATTTACATTATGATTCATAATAGTAGCAAAATTATAGTTAAGTAGCAATGAAAATAATTTTATGGTTGGGGTCACCATGACATGAAGAATTGTTTTAAAGGGTCACAGCATTAGGAAGGTTGAGAACCTTTTAATCTAATAGGATAGCTCATTTTTAGAACTTTGGGGAAATAATGAGTAAATGAATAACCAAATGGTCTGGTTTGAATTTTGATACCATAAAAATATGCAGTTGGAAAATAAACATAAGACTTACAATGTAGGAAGGAACCACTGCTACAAACAGTGAGTTTTGATTGGTGCTTTAGTTAGGGATGCTTTCTAACTACAAAAGGAAACTGTTCACAAAAATTCGGGACTGATGATGTCTTCTGCAATAAGACAACCATAGAGTCTAGCTATTTTGAGCCCTGTAATGTTAATATGGTATTGATTCTCCTGGGTAAAAGGTGGTAGGTTGGTATTTTAGGCCAAATTCTTGACACTGTTTTTTATCTAGTGAACTTTGCTTTCTTTGAGAAGACAAATCTTTTTCAGGACCTTTGCTAGAACCTGTCACATAGATTACCAGTTATTTCCATGAAAGATGGTGTGATGAAGGTAGGGATTTTTACATGTAAATATTGCTGCTAATAATATTAAAGTTGGTAGTAATGGAGAAGAGTGGGTATATATAACAGTAGGCCACTGGCTGTGTTGCTGTCATCATCCCATCTCTCTGTAGATGGATTAGAAGAGTGAAATCTTGTGACTTCAGAGGTCTTTTTGTTTTCACTGATCTTGGGAAAACAAGTAAATGTCAGATCTCAGATTCTGCATTTGGGAAATGGGCATAAGATTTTGAGTTTTCTTGGTCATTGTATTAGGTGAGCTAGGAAGATAAAATTTCTAGTTCAAAGGTACTCAGTTGATGCTGTTGTGGCTGATTGCATAAAGAGCTATGTGTGGGCTTGCCCAGAATTCTGTATTGTGGAGTAACTTTCTATGATCCAGAGACTAACCATTTTAAGCCATATTATCATTCCATTTCTCTTCACAGGTTTCTTTTCTTTCCCCTCTCTTTTGAGACAGGGTCTCGTGTAACTCAGATTGACATTTGCTGTGTATCTGAGGCTGATGCTCTTGCCTCTGCCTCCTGAGTGCTAGAAAAGGAGGCACATGCCACTGTGCTCCATTAGAGAATGCTGGGGATTTGAACTCATGGTTTCATGCACTCCACACAGCCTTCTACACAAACCTTCTAACAATCTAGTTACTTCCATAGCCTATGTTCTTTTTCTATACAAATGAAAAATAAAGTATCCAGAAATGTTCCCGTAAAATTTATACAACACTGTCTTATACCATAAACTAGCAGACATCCTTTTGAAATATCTGATAGTAGTATAGAATTATATATTTCTTTTTATTAGTGCCAAGTGCTCTTATATTTGTATTAATTTATGTTTAATTTTTAAAATATATATGGAAAAGGTATATTTCTTTATAGTTTATGTATTTTTCTGGAGTTGTATATTCAGTTTTGGAAGAAAACTAAATATTAAATAAATTGGGATGATTTTCTTAGACCAGAACATATCTGACTCATAATGTTGTTTCTTATTATACAGGTTGTTGTTTCTTATTATACAGGTGATGTACAGTAGCTTTTGAAAGACTCAAAAAGTTTGTACCAATGTACTCTATCACTTGGCTTTAGCTAAGCCAAGATAAAGATGTAAAGAGACTTAGGAAAGAGGTCAAAGGGAAAAGGTATGAAAAGCATTTCCTAGAACTGATGCATTTTTAAAATAGCAGCTCCTAAAATTTGTTTAAAGTAGCCTATTAGTATGAATTCCAAGATAAAGTTTCAAGCAACAACTTTCCAAAATGAAAATCAAGCAAACAACAAAAAAAAACCTAACCACATTTATTTAGTAGGTTGAGGAACAAATGTTTTTATGAGAGCTGGAATATGTAAGTAAGGAACATATTTTTGCATTGTTTGGGGTCTGAGGCCTATGTCCATGACTGTTTCTGTATCTCTTTCTGTTTTAATTGGACTTTTATAACTTATTTAAACTCCAGCTTTTGTCCTTGGCTTAAATTCAGAGAATCCATGGGGGACGTGTTCATGGAACATTGTGTAAGAAGATGTAATACAGCATTGATTTCATTGTCTTTAGAGTTTTGTGCTTGTGGCTTTGTCTAAATAAATGCTGACATTTGTCTTTTCTTCTTCTGGAGCAGAAACGGCAGGTGAGAGTCTTGGTGAGCTGGCAGATATAACATGGAGTTCGAGTGGAAGTGATTTCTCAGATGAAGATAGAACACTCCCTCAACTACAGAGAGAAGTTAGCCCTGGCTACAGAGTAGGGTTTTGTAGCAGGAATATTTCGTGTCCAGAAGATGGAGCCACTGAAGGTAGTTGCTAGTTTTGTGAGAAGTCCAGTTTCTCTTAAATGCTCATTTCAGTAGTAGTAGAAACTTAATTTGCTTCATGTATTTATTATGAATTATAGCTCTGTATTTTTTATATATTTCTCATAAGTAGATATTATAGTGGCATCTTGTTTGTTTTTTACTTTTTATTTTTTGAGATAGAGTGTGTGCAGCCTGGAGTTGCCTTGAACCTGAAATCCTCTTGTGTTTACCGCATATGTTGGGATTACAAACCTACACCACTTTGTGGCCTGTCCTTACTATGTTTTCTGTTTTGTTCTGTTTTATTGCAGTTAATATATTAGGTTTGATTTGCTCAGATTTAGTTGGAATTCTATTTTTACTCTTTAAAGCCAAGCCAGTTCTCCTTATTCCTAAGCAATGCTGCACCCATGCTTCCTCCTGCCTAACTTGTTATTAGTGAATAAATATTACAAGAGTCAGTATATGGTAGAGGTGTAACTTAGTAATAAGTTTCAGTTCTGATGACATTTGGTAGTGTATCATGTTTAAATTAAAACAAGTTTCTTAAAATTAGCATTATTGCTTTTAAAATAAGCTTGTTGCTCTTAGCTCTGATAGTTCATGTTAATTATTCCATCAACGTTTGCTCAAACATCTTCTCTGGAAAGCGCTTAAAATCCATTGACTGCTTTAAATGGCATTCTGGCAACTGCCACTGACATTTTAGAAGTTACCTGATAAGGTAGTATTTTGCATTATGTGGAAGCTGATGGTTCTTGTGTTAGTAATTCAGTTTTGTTGAGTGGGATTCACTGTGGTATGACTTGTCTAATCTTTTACATATTTTAGAACAGGTTTCAATATTAAAAACTGTGCTTTATATTAATTATCTATTAATGAAGCTGATGTTTAAAACATAGCTGCTCTCTTCTACTGAAAGCAATGTTCAGTAGGTTCTAACATTCTATTTGTAAATGCAAACATGCTTTGAGCCAATTATTTAAAATGAATTAACTATCTAGCACTAAGGGACTGGGATATAAGATAGTTGTGAGTTCAAATCCAGCTAGGCTTATATCAGGAGTTCCAATCCATACTTGGTTCCTTATTGAGATCTTATTCCAGAAAACAAAAAATTAGGGGTTGGGGAAATGACTACGTCACTGAATGTTGCTGCACAGGCTTGAGGACCTGACCTTGATCCCTAGCAGCCATGTAAAAGGAAAAAAGCTGGGTGCAGTGTGTACCAGCACTGGAATGGAAGAGCAGGGAGATCCCTAGTCTGCACTGACCAGCCAGGTAGTCAAATTGTCCACTTAAGAAGAGATCCTGTCTCAACATATAAAGTTGAAGGTGATGTAGGAAGATACCTAACACTGACTTCTGGCCTCTGCACACACGTATACATAAGTGTATGTGCATCCTTACACATTAGCCAGTAAATTATAAACTAGAATACTTAAAAAATAAGATTATTTAACATGTTATTGCCTTTTCTTATAAAGTTGATCTTTGAGCTGTAAAGAGTATTTGAAGCCATGTACATGGTTGCTGGACTGTCTCTTTCAGTTCTCCTTTTCCCCTATTCTTTTAATGGATAACAAATACTATAGTTATCAAGATTTTATTTTAAGATATGAAGCTGGGTGTTAAGTATGTTATTTTCTTTTATATGTGTTCTATCTCATGAGCTAAGAAATATCTTCATTTTATTAAAAGAAGGTTGGGACTTATAAAAGGTCATGTGAAGAGAGGCACATTTATAAGTGCTCTAATTGATAATTTAGATGTAGGGATGCCTCTGTTTAACTGTATATTGGTTGCCAAACCTTTCTTCATTTCCTGTACAAATAATGTCACAGACATAGGATTAAGGTTTCTCAATTATAGGGCCGCCCAGAATTGTCAAAATTTTGTGTTTTTTTTTTTTTTTTTTTTTTTTTTTTCCCTTAAAAATTCTTGTTGGGCTTGAGGAGGTAGTTCAGTTGGTAAACCAGATTTGAGTTCAGAACCTGTGGTTTTAAAATCACAAGCCCAGGTGTGGTGATGTACTTTTAATCCCAGCTCTTGGGAGAATCTGTAAATCCAAGGCCACCTGGTCTTCATAGCAGTTTACAGGTCATCCAGGGCTATACTGTGAAACCCAATAAACAAAGCAAAACAAAACAGAAACCAGGCGTGGAGTCTCATGAATCTCAACATTAAGGAGGCAGATAGGCAGATCCCAGGGGCTCAGTGGAGGGAGGGCCTTGCTTTCTTAGTAAATTAGTAAATTTCTTAGTAAATTGATACCTGATCTCAAAAATACATAGGGCAATGCCCAAAGAATAGCACCCAAGCTTGACTTTGGTCTGCACATGCACATACACACATGGACATAGACCCAAATAATTTGTTCTTTTCGAACTTTTGCAAAGCCTCTTAGCTTATTGGAGACCCAGTGTTCATTTGTAGAGTGTATGGGATTGCTATGGTTAGTCATAAAATCTCCATTTTGTTTCTAGTCTATCATTTGTTATACTCAAAGTAGACACTGTTGTCTCTCTTTATTTTGACTTTTTACATCTGGCTTAGTATGACAGACCATTCCTTCTAAGACACTCTGTTGAGTGAAAATGAGAGTTTGTAATGGGTCATAGGTGTGTGGTGCTTGTGGCAGCTCTGCTTGTGTGTGTGTGTGTGTGTGTGTGTGTGTGTGTGTGTATAAGAGTGTGCATGTGCATGCTCCTTCTCTGGCTCACCACCACTTCCTGCTGTGATAATGTAGCCTCCTAGAAAATTTGTCTAGCACTACCCTGCCTGGCTTCATGTCTAAATGTGCACTGAGACATGAGAAGTAAAAGTCTGCTTTTTTCAGTGGTGGTTTATCCTCTATTTTTTTGTAATTAGTATGGCGACCTTTTACCATATCTTCTCAGGCCTTACCAGACTGAAAAGGTTGTTTGTTTGTTTATTTATTTGGTTTTTCAAGACAGAGTTTCACTGTGTTATAGCCCTGCCTATCCTGGAACTCATTCTGTAGATCAAGTTAGTCTTGAACTCATAGAGCTCCATCTGTCTCTGCTTTCCAAGTGGTGGGATTAAAAGTGTGTTCTACTAAGCTAAAAAATTTTTTTTCAGATTTATTTTTATTTTATGTATGTGGATATTTTGCCTTCATGAATATTTGTGTACCACATGTGTGCTGTACCCATGGAAGCCACAAGAGAGTGTTGGATCCCCTTGGAACAGGAATCATAGATTTTTTTTTTTTTTTTTTTTTAAAACAATGTGGGTTCCAGGAATTGATCCTGTGTCCTCTGCAAAAGCAGTCAGTGCTCCTAACTACTGAGCCATCTCTGTAACCTTGAAAAAGTTATTGTAAACAGTGGACTATGTAAATACACCATGGTTCCTTGATGCCATAGATTACTGAATTATGTAAAAGAAAAGGCAACTTTCTGTTATTGATGATGGGGGGTCTCTTCATTATCTTAATTTAAAAAATTCAAGATGTGTAAGAGAAGAGAAATAGTCTGTATCTTATTTTCCTGAGCATGTTGGAGAAACTGCAAGAACTCAGAAATTAATCTTATATCTGAGGAGGGGTGAGAAGGGGCACAGTGAGTGACCAGAGATGAGAGCAGGAGCGATGTTCACTTTGTGTTTGAAAATTAGCCAGTGCTATGGGTATATCAACTACTGACAGCAAGTTTTGTGAAATAAACATTAAGGGAATATAAAATTAACAAAATTAAAAAATATATTTTTTAGATGAGTTACAGGTTATTGACTGGGAGATTAACAGTGACATGGAAGATCCTTGTGGGCCCAGTGAGTGTGAAGATGGTGAGGGAGCTGTGGAGATTTCTGATTGTGCTTCTTGTGCAAGTGGTCATTCTTTGACAGATGATGACAGGCTCTGTGGGCCCCCCAAGGTAAGAATAAATTGTATAAAAATCTTTTATTCTCCTTATGACATTGGGTGATTGTAGCTTTTTTTGTTCACCTTTTAAGGGGCACCCTTTAACTCTTGCTAGAGTGTTTTGTTCTTCATGGTCATCTCTAAAGTAACAGGCTTGTCCTGCACTGAGCTCATATCCATCCATCTCTCTTCCTTGTGCTGTCCTTGTTGTCTCCTAGTACACATACATTGAGGTTTGTGCTAGTGTTCGACATTTTCGCAATTGTGAATCAATAATATGACCAAGGCTACTATTATTTCTTTCGTAGCTTTTTTTTTGTTTTTGTTTTCCTTGGGCATACTATTATTTTTTCACTTAACCTAATTTAATGCTAGTAATTAATTTTTTATTGTTGTCTCTGTTATTAAGCTGTTTAGACACAGTAGGGCTTTTTATCCCTTCTATTTTCTTAGAGAACTCTAGCCCACAACCTCCTAGCTACTACTTCAGTTTGAATATAATACTCTTATTAGTTGTAGATGTTGTCACCTTGGGGTCTCCCTCACCATTTGTGTTAGTTATTGTTTCATAGCTGTGACAAACCACAAGTAACAACTCAGGGAGGAAATGTTATTTGATTCCCATCTTGGAGCTTATGTGGCTTCATGGTTGACGGAAGTGTTTGGTGAATGTCACATAGCAGCAGAGACAAGAGTAGAACTAGCTACCTGGTGTAAACTTAGGAACCATGGTCCTAGTTATCAGTTTCCTTCAGCTAGGCCTAACTAGATCTTTCAGAACCCCACAAAATAATGTTTGCAGAGGGAACATATGTGTTCCACATAGCCTTCAGGGGGTTTTCCTACCCAAATGCTATCTATAACTAGCATTCTAGGAATTTATTTATGAACAATAATCCTGTGTGGAGCTCTATGTCCTTCTGTACTTAAGCATTTTCTCAACTTTCATCCTCATTTTGGATACATTTGTCAATAGTCTCAGAGAAAAGGTTCATAGAAGATAGTTGCTTGAGATGGGGCATGTCTGAAAATATTGTCAGCAGTGTGGTGACGTACATCTGTAATTCCAGCACGGATGAGATGGAGGCAAGAGGATTATGAGTTTGAGGCCAGTTTGGTACATAGTTTGAGAGAAGTAGCTGGGGAGAAGGAAGGACAAGGGAGGGGAAGGACAATACTTTTATTAATACATTGATAGTACATGTGACTGAAAACTCGTATAGACTTTTAGGCTGGAAATGGTTTTCTTCTAAAGCTTTGAAAACATGTCTTTATTTTCTTGTTTTTTGAGTTATTGTCAACAAGCCTGAAGTAGTCTCATTCTTGATCTTTTAAGATTTCTTTGATTGTGGTATGCCTTGGTAGGGTGTTCAATTTGGTATTTGTCAAGATGCTGGTGAATGCAGTGAATGTGTTTTGAGGAATCCTCAAGACCAATAAGTTTGTTTGCTTTTATATTTTGGCGGGGGGGGGGGGGCGCGGAGGCATATCTGCTGGCAACTTTATGTATGCCAGGCTAGTACTGTGCCACTGAGGTATGTGATCCTTAGCATGCTTTTATAATGGCTGTTTAAACAGTATGATGTGATATCTCACTGAATTTTTTTATAAAAACATTTATTATTTAATTATTGTGTGTGTATATGTGTGTGCATATGCTTGTGGGTGCTAATGGAGGCCAGGGGACGTTTTCCAGTGCCCTGGAGTTTAGTTTTAGAAGATAGTAAGCCACACAACATGGGTGCTGGAAACCAAATACTGGTCTTCTGAAAGAGCAGTGGGTACTCTTAATCATGGAGCCATTTCTCCAGCTCCTCACTGGGATTTTAATTTGCATTTCTTTAAAGTCTACTGAGGATTTGCATTTTTGGTCATTTGTGTCTTCTTACAGTATTAAGGCTTCTAAAACAAAACAAAACCCCCCAAAGACAAAAAACACCTCCAAATAAAACTATCCTGTAACCCAGCAAACATACATCTGGGTATGTATGCAAATGGATTGAATCAATGCAATGAAGATTTATTTGTACTCCCGTTGTTCTTGTTTGCTTTCCTTTCTGTTGCTGTGAAAAACTGATCAAAGGCAACTTGGGAGAGGAAGAGGAGTCAAGGCAGAAATTCAAGGAAAGAGCTTGAAGCAGAAACCACTGAGAAATGCTACTTAATGGGCTGTTCCCCTGGCTTGATCGACAACCTTTGTTATACAATCCAGGTCCTTGTGCTTAGGAATGGAATCTCCTAGAGTGGGCTGGACCTCCCTCTCACATCAATTAGCAATTAGGAAAATAACCCACAGACATGCTCAGAACACAGTCTGATGAATCCAATTCTTAAATTGAGATTCCCTCTTCCCAGGTATGTCTAATTTTGTGGCAAGTTGTCAAAAACCATGACACTCATGTTACTGCAGACTTATTCATCATAGCAAGATGTTGAAGCAACCTAGGTGTCCAGACCTGAATGAAATGGGTAGATGAAATTATCTTGGATATGGGAACAAAGTCTAATGTGAGTTCAGTTATGCCTGAACTTACACAGTGTGCCTGGCTTACACTGTAATTTCATACATAAGATCAAGTATGTAATTTTTCACTTGGGGTGTCCTATCAGTTACTCAGAAAATTTCAGATTTTGGAATTTGTATTTTTGCATTAGGGCTGTATCACTATGGGGCACCTTGGGAAGAATTGATATTAGGTGTATTTTTGTTAGTTTTTTGAGACAAGGTCTCACTATGTAGCTCTGATTGGCTTGGAACTTACTATGAAGACCAGTTGGCCTCAGACTCAGAGTTCCATCTGCCTTTGCCTCCCATGTGCTGAGATTAAACGTGTGTACCACCAAACCTTGTTAGAATTCATCATAGAAGCCATAATCCTGGGCTTTTCTTTGATGGTGTTTATTTTTATTTGCTGAATTACCTTCCTTACTAGTTGATCAGTAGAGACTTTCTATTTTTTCATGACTCAGTGTTGGTGGGTTGTGAACTTTTATGAAGTTATCCATTTCTTTTGAGTTGAGTAATGGGCTAGTGTTCAATTCTTCATAGTAGTTAGTTTTTTCTTCTTGTTTATGTGGTGTCTGTTGTAGTGGCTCTTCTTTCATTTTTTATCCTTAGTATTTCCATTTCTTTAGTTCCTCTCCCCTCACCTGAAAAGAAACCAGAAGCCTCAGCAACTTGGCTTGGCTGCTCATTCCTTCTGCTTTTTTCTAGCTGATTTTGTTTCTTCCTTTTTTTTTTTTTTTTTTTTTTTCTTTTTATTTCTTCTGTTCATTCATTTTGGGCTCAGTTTTTTTTTTTTTTTTTTTGGTTTTTGGAGACAGGGTTTCTCTGTATTGTTTTGGAGCCTGGAACTTGCTGTGTAGACTAGGCTACCAGGCTGGCCTTGAACTCACAGAGATCTGCCTGCCTCTGCCTCCTGAGTGCTGGGATTAAGGCTAGCACCACCAATGTCTGGCTGTGGCTCAGTTTTTTTTTTTTTTTTTTTTTTTAAAACTTTACTGTTTTAGTTCCTTGAGGTATGTATTATGCTATCTCTCTGAGATCTTCCTTTTTCTTTCCTTGTTGTATAGGATCAAACCAGGGCTAGGTGAGTGCTATTTTACTGAGCCTGCCTTCCAGCCTGATCTTCATTTTGCTTTTCTTTCTTCTTCTTTTAAAAAGTTTGCTTTGTTGAGACAAGATCTCAGTGCCCTGGGTCTTACTTGCTTTATTCAGTCTGACCTCAAACTTGCCATTTTTGTACCCTCTGTGTTTAGGATACATGCATTGCTCTGGCCTGACACTTGGTGGCTGCTGTTCCTCTTCTCTTCCCCCTATGCCTCCTTCCTTTTTCTTTCTGCTCTACTTTTCATTGTCTTTTTTTCCTTGTTCTTTGGCTTCCTTCACCACTGTCACAGGTTCTCATTTTATCCCAGGCTCAGTTTCCTTTTAGTGTTGGCATTATAATCACAAACCAGCTCTTTGGCTGGCCCACTTGCCTGCCTGCTTTCTTTTGTTTTCCCTTCCTTCCTTTCTTTCTTTTCCTTTTATTCCTACTTTCTTTTGTTTTACATAGTACTTACTTTATTTAGTGTGGGTGTGAGTCAGGTGGTAGGTGTGTACATGCCGGGGTGCTTATATGGAGGTCAGAGTGTAAGCTGGTACTTGTCTCTTCTGGCACCATGTATGTTTTCGGATTGACTTCAGGTGGACAGCAAGCACTTTACTCGGTGAGCAATCTCTGACCATTTTTTTTTTTTTTTTTTTTTTGTTTATTTGCTTGGATTTCTTTATTTATTGCTATGAAGTTTCTTATGAGTGGAAGTAGGGTTTTGTTTGTTTGTTTGTATATCTCATAATTTTGTTTCCATTTTTGCCTTGAGATTTTAGTTCCAAGTTTCCTTTGGTTCATTCTAGAGTCTGTTGTTTAATTTTCATATATTTATGACTTTTCTCTTGTTCTTCCTAGTACTTATTTCTACTTTAATCCCATTATAGTTTTAAAAACATACTTGATAATAATTTTTCTTGTATTTAAGGCTTTTCCCCCCTAATGTATGTACTTGATAGAGTGCATTCTACTCTGTAAAGTATAAAGTATTGTTTTATTTCTCAGATTCCTTAATCACCTGTAGTTCCTATATCTAGGTTCCCTTCCACATTAGTATTGCCCTTGTTTACTGGTTTCTTCCTTGTTTGGGTTATCTTTAGGCACCTGTGTTGCTGAGACTTCATGGGTTTAGCTTTTCACAATCTCACAGCAAAACTCCCTGATCCTCTGGCTCTTCCAGTCTTCCCACCCCTAATGATCCCTGAGCATTAGGCACAGAGGTTGTGTTGTAGAATAAATCTGGCTCCACACTTTGATTAGTTGTAGTTTTCTGTAATGGTCTCCATCTGTTGCAAATATAAATTTCCTCGATGAGAAATGAGAAATACAACTTATCAGTGAATATAAAGATGGATATTTAGAATGTAGTTAGAGATTATACTGGTTTAGTCAAGTAGTGGTTGTAAGTTCTCCTTCAAGA